CACGATGTCAGAACGAAGTCAGGCCCGACGACGCCCTGACGACACACGATGTCAGAACGAAGTCAGAAGGAAGTCAGACGATGTCAGGCCATCACTACGGGCAGGCTCTCCTTTCAACACCAATCTCGGAGATTGCACTTCCTCCCATTCCTTTCTCTCAACACACGCCCACGTGTTTCGCAGATGCACGCGAAAGGGTACCCTTCTTTCCTTTCCTCCCCTATCTTTTTTCCATTCAAACCCGGCCGAATGTTACAAACCTACAGCGGACACACCGCCCCCCTAACCTATACTTACAGCGGACACACCGCCACTTATAACCTCAACTGCGGTCTCTCACAGCCATCTATAGATCGAATTCGCCTGCAGCGGGTACACCGCCCAACAAACGCTTTTCACCCTGTTCATATAGGGCTCTCTGTCTGTGTCTGTATGTGTGTGCGTAATGATGTTCACGTCTATAGAATTTCTTTTATGTTTGCAACAGCCCACAAAAAACGAACTACAGAATGGAATATCTTATGAAACTTTGCCCACTCAACTAACCCTCAGCAATTTCATATCAAGGGGCTGTAATGTTGACATTACGCTGTAGACTGCTGATTCCAGCGTTTTAATCAAATCCACACACAAAAACCTTAAAGAAATCAACTTTTTCATGACATTTTTAAGAAAACCATGAAAAAACTTTGAAAAATTAGGTTTTTGTAAGTAGGCTAAGTGCGCCCCTAAGTAGAATAAGTAGGTTTTCGCTTCCGTACTATTCCGACTTATAACTGACTTATAAATGACTTATAATTTTTGTATATACACTGTATCTAGCGTAAGTCTGGCCGAATACTTATGGACACTTAACCCATTTACCATCACATATAACCTTACATATCCACACATATAACCTTACATATCCAAACATATATCTACGATATGTAAGGCGGACCTTGTGGTACATCGAGGCGATCACCATGGCGGACTCGGTCAAGGCCTTGTGGGTGGAAATCAGTGGCCATATGCCGGAGGCGGTTACCTATGGTGACAATATGGCTGCCATCAGCATCATCCAAAACCCCGATGGTCCCTGGAGAACGCGGCATCTGAGACTGCGCGCAAGTGTTCTCAAAGAACGCCTTCGAGAAGGGTCATGGCGCATCTTTCACCTGGACGGCAAACGCCTCATCGCGGACGTGTTCACCAAGGCGATCGTGGACAAGAATGTCTGGAGTTGGTTCAGGCGCTTTGTTCACTTTCAGGCTCCAGAAGGGGGAACGCGCGAGACGGAGGTCGTGGCGGAGGTGACGGAGGTCGTGACGGAGGCGAAGAAAAAGGCGAAGATGGTGGACGCGGTGACCAAAGTGGCGAAGCTGGCACTTTGCATGGCTGGTTGCGCTGCCGCTACGTGTCTGCCGACAACAACAAGGGTGGCTTTGGTGGCATCTTTGGCGATTGGCGTGGCCTACGTAGTGAAGAGTAGTGGGGTTTTCGCGGGGAGTCAGGGACCGGGGGAGTGTTCACATTTTTCCGACAGGGGAATTCAACGTGAATTAAAGTCACTTGAACACTCCTCCCAACCTCCACCTCGCTTGTGTGCCCTGCGGCGAGCGCCGTCACGGGAACAAACAGACCATGAAAGGTCACAACACAAGAAATGAACAAGAGGCCATGAATTCCAATTTGAATGCGTCGGGCCGCACGCAAAACTCTTGGGATGTCGTCTCGGAAACACCAGACCCAAGGGTTCCAAACAGTAGCCTAGAGGCTCCCAGTTCAACCACCTTCGAGGTGGAAGCGTCCAGTGCTAGCCATGGCGTGTGGGGCCGCATCCAAATGCGGCTTCCTGCGGTCTTTCGAGGTGGCCGCGAATGGTTGGGTCAAGACGAACCAGAAGAGGTGCACTACACAACCTCGCAAGTGACCCAGGCAGCGATGGACGAGGGCACGTATGACGTGACGAGGCCGCCCATCTTGGTCACCAGCGATGGCTTGAGGGTACTACGCCCTGAAGAGGTGGACACGGAGACACAAACCATCCGCCTCATCCCGAATGCCAGGTTTTTGGAGGGGGCATCGGCAGCGAAAGCACCACCGGTGAAGCAACCACCGGTGCCTACGCAACGGGGCTATGGAAGTGGGGCTTCATCAAGTGCATCTTCGAGACCAAGTCAGGCGGCAGCGCGGGGGCAAGCGGCGCTGACAGCTTCGAAGGCAGCGGGATCCTTCATGCAAGGGGTCTCCAAATCGGGCTCCGTGGCGACAGGGGGTCCAATGGCTCCACCTACAATGGAGAGGCGACAACAAGCTGCCACAGATCGGCCTTGGAACAGGCCAGGCAAGGCTCCACCGACCATGCTGATGAGGCCTACTGGCGGCATGATGGATGACCAGGTGGAGTTTCAGGATTCCGTCTTTTGGACTCCGCAGGTGTTGGACGCCGTGCAGGATGTCATCGAGGAAGAGGCTCTCTTCTACAAGCCGGTCCACAAGAGCGACAAGTGGGACTACATCGACATGGATGGCGTTCGCTGGCTCATCAGGTACCACGGCAGCTCAAGAGTGCAAAGGTTCCACCCGGAACACAGAAGCTGCCCCGAACCGAAGAGATCACGGACCTGGAGTTCATGAGGGTCACGCTGGCTTGGAAAGGCCAGGAGTGGCATCGGCGCGTGCTGATCGACAGCGACTGGCGGCGAAGTGAGATCACAGGACCAGCCGCCTGGATCGGGAATTCACTTTTCCTCATCCGCTCCGGACCAAGGAGCATGTGAGGTGTGAACAGGACGGCATGAAATGCCGGGGGGAGTGCGAGTCGGAAACCAGTCCGCACAAAACAAGAAGTGTACCAAGCACTCTTGAAACCCCTTCGAACCGTTCGAAACCAGCCATTAACTTGGCAACGTTTGGCTCAAGAAAGAAAAGGTCCGAGTGAATTGCACTCACATGGTTTTCAAGTGGACGGGGCCCTCACAAGCCCACAAGTCCCTCAAAGAGCAAAGACGAGCAAAGCAGATTTTAGTTTGAGGAGAAGGGATCATAACCGCAACGACAACGACTTGCGAATCACACCTCCGATGCCCTTATTGGCCATTGAGGCGATGTCAAACTGTCCCTATCTGGTGACCTGCCCAGACATCACCTTCACGCTATTCATGCGCCTTGGCCGTTTGCTAGGAACTGGGCTGTTGACTCACCAGAATGCAGGCGGGCCAAGCCCAGGCATTTTTAAATTTTTCAATGAGAGGAAGTCTTGTCTTTTTTCGGCCATGGCACCTAGTCTGGCGTGTTTGATGGGATCACATGCCAGGCCCCAAAGGCAGATCAGATCCCATCAGAGCGTTTTGCAGATTTGTTTGTGAAACATATATACTCAACCGTAACCCGTAGATCACAGATGATCACACATGATCCTCAGCACCCACTGGTAGTCCTGCCACTTCCGTCATTCGCACATTCGCAGTTGTCAGGGTCGTACCAAGGCAGGCCGGCCAAATCTCAGTCAAACATCATCATGTGGAAGACGATTTTTCACAAGCTGCTGCGGGTCTTGCCTTGCGACTCAATGCATTGCTTCTTGGGTTTCTTGTACTCAGAGATCCAAAGGTGCAGGATGATGTGTGCAGAATAGTGGGTTCCTTTCACGGAGAGTGCCCAACGATCAGTCTACACATCCACAGTTTGTGCATACAAGTTTGCATATGGTAGATAGGCTCATAGTGGCTCATATCATATGTGTATTGATATATATATATATATTATATACATATATATATATATATACACCATATATATATATAAGTGAAGAAACAGTATGTAGTAATTAGCATCGATGTAGTAGAATTCTATGTAGTTTAACGGTGTAGGCCTGAGATAGAAGGTTTTTCTGATCTAGCATCTAGCCCCAATCCAAGTGACATTTAGCAAACTGAAGAAAGGCATGTGATCAGCTCTGCAATGCGGTTGATGCCAACTGTGATAAGGTTGACTTTCTGGCTTCTCGGGAAGCTTCACGTGATGGCAGCTCTTCGTTACTTAGAATGCATTTTACCAAGCGCAATCCAAACCAAATGAATTGAATGCTGCGTCCAAGGCTACTTGCCATATCCTGTAGTGGCTGGTTTTCTTGCAATGATTGGTGCTGCTGTGGTGAAGGGGGCCTTTATCATTCTTTTAAGCGACCCCGATAATGAATCCAGGCCAGAGCTTTTGCTTAGCAACGGCTTCTGTTACTTTCTTTCTTCTTCTTCTTCTTTTTTCTTCCTCACATCCTATTCATTCCTGGCAGCATGCAACGGCGTCCTCTCCAAGTGAATCTGCAGGTATTTTTCGACAGTGGTCTCAATTGCCTTCGCATCTTGTGTCTTGGGCCTGAAATTGAAGGGCATCAGAACCAGCTTCAGTGCACCCGTGCTGATCCTTTCGCAACTTGGCTTCTGAGACATTTGTTTTCCCCCTTTTGGATCAACGAGATCTTCGCGAAGGAGACACCTAGGACCTAAGATACCTAAGACAGATCCGCAGAAGTAGAAAGATTGCGCTATATACATGGATCTAAAGGGTGTTCTGTACTCGCTGCGCTCATTGTTCACTTCAAAAGGTACAGTCCGTGCGAGAGCGGGGATGGTTCCTGACGCAAGGCTTTTGGCAATTTTTTATGGATGGGCATTCTGCACTGGGAGAGCGCACCCTGATCTTGCAAAGGACAGGGTGACAAGATGTTCTTGGACCGAAGTTCGCGTGTTTGGTTTCCAGAGTGATTTGGAGATCATCTCCAAAAGTTAGCGCCCTACACATGCAGGAACACGACAAATGGATCATCAGCAATCAGCAATCAGCACCTGATTATGTACTTACATTACATCATCAATTAGAACCGGTTGCAGTCAGCTACTGAGCTACTGTAGCTGGCAGATGTTGCAAAAAGTACATATTTCTGGGCAAGTAGTAACAAGAAGCTACTAGGGGCTCCTGGCCTCACTACTAGGAGCAAGGACGCTACTAGGGGCTAGTACGGCCAGGAGCAAGGACGCTACTAGGGGCTCCTGGCATCGCTACTAGCAGCAAGGACGCTACTAGGGGCTCCTGGCCATAATGCTAGGAGCATTACTACTAGTTGGGCCCGCCTCCATCAATGTGGCAAGGAGGGCTGGATTTCTCCACCAAGCGGACATGAGGCAAGGGGGATGGGTAAGGTTTGATCAAGGGTGTTTTGCGACTTACATATTGGAGACACGCCAGGACACATCAATCAGTCAGGAGACCAGGTGCTCATGGATCCCAGATATGAGACTCACGTATGGATCCCACTTGTGACTCATGACCCTGATGAAGCGCCATTTCAGCTGCCAGGGTCAGCCGCTCCAAATATTTTCAGATACAATGCCGGAATCTTGGCACCAGCCTCAGAGGGACTTGCGTTTGCCTTCAACACGACATCAGATGATGCTCGCACCACGCTGTCAGACTTGTTTGTTTACAAGGATTGTCTCACGGATCAAAACAAACTAAGTGAAAAAGGCGTGATTTGGACCTAGATGCACGTCATTCTTGCTCTTATATAGATCTTCTTGGCCTGTGTTCTACGAATCCTCTCTAGTGTTCTACGCACCCCACAGGCCGTAAAGCAACCTAGAGAGGTACGAAGGCTGCCGCCTCCTCTGGGCCGCCTGGCCGAGCTTCGCCTCCTTCCTTCTGGCTTTGGTTGCCATCATCATGCGCGCACTGACAATCATTGCTATTGAATCAGATGCTTGACCATGGACTTTTCAGTTTGAACCGTTCTTTGGGCGCTTTGAACTTAGAGCAATTGGAAGGATCAATCCCTAGTTTATACCCTTGAAACGGTATTCGTACCTATACTATGCTGAAGTCAACTCTCACAAAGGACTGACACGTCCCAATGTTTGTTGCTCGTGTTTCCATGCCCCAGCGAGTGCTAGGCTTTTGGCATGTTTTGATGAACGATGGACCAAACCCAAAGCAGTTCAAAGAATATAACATGACATGAATGACTTGAATATCAAAGACCTTGTCAGACCAGCCAGCCTGAGGCTTACGCTGACTCCCCCTATAGCGTCGATCACGTTTCTTGGCTCAACAGGAAGTTGCCAGGTCCTTTGGGCCATTGGCACTACTATAGCCATCCGTTTCAGTTCAGCTGAATAGAAAGAGCATTTGATTGTCTTAGTCTTAGTCACTTCAGCTTGTGCATCGAAGTGGCCCACATAGCTGGGCAACTTCTTCAGCCCCTTTTTCTTGAATGCTGAATTCTGGGCTTTAGTCTTTCCTCCGCAGCTTCAGGAAATGTCTTCTTTGGGCACTGCCACTCTTGTGGGCGGGGTCCTTGGGGGAGTGCCAATGAATGCAACGTCGGCCATGACCGATTTGAACAAGGAGGGTGTGAAAGGAGACAGCGTTACTGCCCGATACACCGTGGCGATCATCACGCTCTTGCATTTGGCAATGTGGCTGGACTTGATAGAATTTCCAAAACATACACGGCAAACTTTGTTCGTCGGGCAACCCGGAAATATGTCTTCAAGGATTCTTTGTGGGTGCCATGTTTCTGGCCATAATTGGTTGAAGGGTGTGCGTGTTGGCTTCACTTGTTGGCTTGTTGAGTTGTCAAACGGTCTGGATAGCATGCTTCAACCTTGAGGTGGGGGTCAGGCTTTCCACTCGTGGACTACTTGCCGAGATCCTCGGCAAATATTCCTGTTGGTCAACAGAAGAAGTGAGATTTCACAGGTGGCGGCAGTACACCGTTGCCTTAAAAAAGAAATTCTGACTGCCACTGCCAGCATCCAAGCAAACGATGAAGTTCGACTTGGCTCTTGAAGACTCAGGATTCCTCCTGGGAGGCTTATTGATGCAGATGGGCGGTGGGATGTTGATGGACTGGGCAGTCCTGGTGCAACGACGGCTTCAATGGAGCGGGAAGGGTCTAGTCGACCAGCTCAGAACGAAAACAACCGTATATTTGAATAAACCACGTGAGCAACATTTTCACTTATTTTATACAGTAGATGTTGCATCGCCAAATTCACTCGACAATGCATTTCATCAATTAATTGCTTATTTACCGTTTCGCCTTAGCTCTTGGAGGACTGGGCGTGCCGTGATTTTGTTGATGATTAGCACCAGCTTGTTGAGCGACATGACACACGGCATTGTTGTGGGCACCTTCTTGGCTTTGGTCTCTGTGATCTTCCGCTTTTCCAAATTGGAGGCCGGAGGAAGCGTGCATGTTTTAGTAAGATATGTGGGAGTGATCAGCTTCTGCAACCACCATTCTATTGCAAAGACATGTACATTACAACAGATGGAGAGTCCAAGTCTCCAAGGGCAAATCCAACTGCAGACTGAGAATAAATATTTCACGGAATAGAGGTGGGGATAATGACATCAGTTCTCTCTTTTTCTCTTGCTTTAGCATGAAGGCAACATTGATTTTGAGCATTTTGATTGTTTAGCCCCACACCATGAAATTTCATGCGTTTGCTAGCATCTCCACATTTGGTCTCTGTAGTCCCCATGGCTGCTTAGGCCCATAGCTTTGTCGCTCCTGTTGTGAGCTATGTCAGCATTCGGTAATCAATAGTGTTTTGACATTTGCTCGTGTTTTGGGGAGCCTTACTCTACTCACCATGAAAAACACACCATGTGTATAATCACATATACACACACACATCCTATGTTGACCTCCAACAAAGGTGACGTTGGGCCATTTATATATGGTGTTGATAGATATTTCTTTCGCAGAACAGATGCCCGAAGGGCCCAACCCCCACCCAGAGGTTCTGAAGTATCATGTCTGTGGCCTCTGGGCTTCGATTGGGGTCGTGCGGGGTGGGTGACGTCTTGAAGCAAGTTTGCCAACATGCAAGTTCGGTCTTCCATGATGAAAATCGACTTGAACATCCATTCGTTTGGGTTTCTCTAGTATTTGAAGCACACATAAATGCCAGGCATCCAAGTGTAATATCTAGTACCAGATTCAAGCCTTGGTGCTTTTACCAGTATTGCCTATAAGCTTCGGAAGATTTTTGCGATATTTTGCGGCTCACACAGACCATTGCTGAGGTGTTCATTTTCGCTCTGGCGAGTTGTACAGCAGTGCCCAGCGTGCGATTTTGAAGAAGTACGGAGGTGAAACCGAGGTTGGAATTGCATGAATATTTGGAAACGTGTCAACTGAACAGAGCATTTTCTTTGGGCTGTGATCTAGACATATGCTGTAGATTTTGTGTAGACCGCACAGCCAGCTGTCAAGCATTATCGGGCATCCAGAATCTCGATTTGTGCTACATACTCAGCCGCTTGCCAGGTGGTGGGCCTCACAGGCTTTGTATTTGAAGGTGTTGCCATCTCCTTGGCCATGTATTTGAAAGAGGCCATTCGACATCCAGACGGAGAGAAGCCAAAGATGTTTCTTGGCAAACCGTTTGTGAATATTCAAGACTTCCAATTTCCAAAGTATACAAATTCAAGCATTCCCACGAGCTTTTATTCACCTTCAGATTTTGGTGTCAAACTTTCGATCAAGCACCAAGCTGGGCAACTTGCATGGTCTCACCTTCGTCGAAAGCTTCCCTCTGCATGACTCCGCAAGACCTCGACTCAGCCTACCCGCCTACCTAAGGCTTATCATCGATTGTGCAGCTTGCCAGGGCATCAATGACTCGGCAATGTCTCATCTGGCCAAAGTAGCACAAGATTGCCGAGAAATTGGTGTGCAGTTGGTATTCTGCAGTTTGAGCCCATTTGACGAGGCACCGATATTGTTTCAAGCTAATCTTGGAAGGCAATCCTGTCCCCCCATCCGCACTGCACTGGCAAGACTCAGCAACTGACTTGCACAGCTACCGCCAGAACAGCGACTGTGAACACCAACAGTTTGTTAGTAGCGTGAGTTTCACCACAATGTGTTTTCAGCTTTTGAAGGATGGTCTTTGAGTCTCCAACTGTAATCATGGGGTCATCCACAGGTCCCTCTTCCCACTTCTTTAAATGGACAACACCCGCGTTGTGCGGGAGGATGGACACATGAGCTCACATGGCCTGGCAGGAGTTGCTCAGTAGCTGGGCACTGGAAGATCATGGCTGCCGAATCATGCCATCTGTGACGGACGCCCTCAGTGAGGCTGAGAGGCAAATCCTGCAAGAGATGTCACACCCTGTGACTCCGGTGCGCAGGACTGCGATGTGTTTGGATCTTCACCTTCCCAGCTAGGAGACTGTTAAGTGTGGTCAGACGCTTCGATGTGATTCATCAGGACTATTGATGAGCATGCAAAAGTGAGAGCCCTCACTAGATGGGTGGGCCAGGCAGTTGCACAGGACTTGCTGAGCACTGGAGCCTGGTATGAAGTGATTGCCGGGCAAGAAATCACATGCCAGGATGAAGTCATGACCACTGCTTTTTGGCGTTGACTAACCAAACAGTTTCTTAGACCCTCACAAGTGACTCATCATTGAGGTGATTTTCCCTATTTGGGGTGCCCCAAGAAGCTGACAAAAGAGCCAGGGAAACATCCTGGAAGTTTTGAACTTTTTCTGAGGTCTTCCTGGCTGTGCCTGGGCTTTCAGACGTGCAGATGGAGGTGCAGACGGGCACACAGAATCGCCCGGCCAAGCTCCTGCGGACGTCCCAGGGTGCCATCTGCCCGGCGGAGGCTTTGATCGGAAGCCATTGCCGAGGGAAGTGGATCGCCGTTGCTAGCTCCTGTGGGCTGATGATCCCAGAGGTCCAAGCCTTGAACGAGGAGAAGATGTAACGAAAATGCTGGATACACTTGTTTTTCCATTTTGACATACTTTGACATTCAGTTCTGAAAACGTGCATTGATTTCAGACTTTCAATCTTGGACTACAAAATCGTTCAAGTCAGATTTTCCTGGAAACCATGGTCATCTCATTGTCATTTCCTGGTATTTTGTCTGTGCATTTCGACCTTCCCATTGTATTGTGTATGGACGAGCAGTCTACATTTTATGCCGGTCACTGATTCGAGTAGCAATGTCTTTCAGTGTGGCTGCTGCAGCATTCATGGTTGCCGCAACTGCCTGCGTGGCATTGCTTTTCAACTCAGTCAGCACAAATTGCAACCCACAGGCCTTACCCGCAAGCGTTGGACTGCAGGTCAGCTCAGAATCTCACAAGACACAGTCTCAAAAACGGTGTTGTGGACAAGCGACTTGATGCACGACCAGGATAGTTTACGCATATAATATATGATCTTTAACGTCGAATGCGGTTCTTGTGGCTGCAAGCTTCATGAATCAGGTTGTGACCGACTTGATTCGGCTAGTCTCGTGGGGTGCAGGTACTTCCTGGTTCGGGCTTCCCTGCCCGGCTCACTGTGGTGCTTCAGGCCCTTGTCTTTTTGCCTTCTTCCTGGCAGGCTATTGTCTGGGCTCCCTTTGCACCGTTGCCTTGGGCTTTTGGGCATTCTATTCGGGTTTCCTGACCCACTCCTCTCGACCTCTCCAGAGGCCGGTCACTCCCTCGTCTTTACGCCTTGGGGCGTATCTTCATGAGCGGGACCGCTCTTGGCGCTCTGATTGAGGCAACTCGTGCTACAGCACAAACTCTCCGAGTCTTGGCTGACACTCTTGAGGCAGCTGCAAATCGAGCTTCCTGGGCCCCGCGGTCGTCAAATCCTGAACAGGAGGTGCACACTGATACAGTTGACTGGGACATCACCAACTACGCCACTTCATCGGCTACTCCCGCTCCTGCCTCCAGGCTCTCCACAAACCAGGCCTACGAACTGGTGGCTTCCCGTATTCCTCCGGTGCCTGAACATTGCATTGAGCTTTGCGCTCGTTTGGGAGTTACTATGCAGGACGTGCGAGACTGAGCTGATCGTGCTTGGATTGCTGGGTGTTGGGTCGTGATGGCCCTCAACTTCTGGCATGCGGATTGCTCCTTTGTTCCGTTGGCTGCAATGGCAAGAGTGCCTACGAGATCACAGGCGGAGGCCCTAGAGTATCTCCAGGGAGTGGTCAGAGCTTTCGGTAGCTCTGGGGAAGAGTTCCTTGTTCCTCAGGGTGGCCGTAGACTTCCATCCCATACTCTCGTACTTTCCAAGGAGCTTGTGGCTATGACAGTGTGGTTGTGGCTCACGATTTGAGCAAAGCTGAGGAGTTGAGGCCTTACCGTGCTTTGGACCCTTCGCGGCTCATTCTTCTTTGGGATCCATCTCCATACCTTTCTGATCGACTCTGGCTAGCCAACCAAGAGCCCGCTAGCCTGTTGTGGACACTGGCCAGAACAGAGGACTCACCTGACCTGGAGAAGGAGAGCCTGGATCATACATGTGAGCTTGCGCGAATCTGGGATGCCCGTGTCCGTGATCAGCCCCACGGAGAATCTACCATGCACTTCTCTACGCGCTTCTTCGACAACTACAAGAACCCTACGACTGACAGGATGATCGGAGATCGCGCGACTGAGGCTCACCGTGCGTTTTTGCTTCAGGGGGGACTTTTTCCGGGTGGTAGGTGCTTTCGAGGTGTTCGGATGTCGCTAGTGGCTTGGTCATAGATGACTTCTACTGCATCTCTGTTGAGGATGAGGGGCTCTCTGCCTTTGAGAAAGATGGGCCCGCAGACCAGAAGCTCTCTCAAGCCACCATACATATGAAAAGGGCCGCATCAGCTTATGTTTGCTTGGCTCCCCTGACAAAGACCTGTTGGACTCTCAGAAGGCGAAGGTGACTGGAGCAGAGATTGATGCCACCCCGGCGACCAGATCTCGTGGATTGACAATAAGCGTTGGAAGTCCGGCCTCAAAAAGACTGGCGCTTTCCTATGTGTCTTTGAAGCTGGCTAGGTCTCATTGGGGGGTGGACAAACGCTATGCAGTATAGGAGGGGTGGAAATGTTCACGAGCGGCCATTTTGGCCTTGTGCAGGATCCCTCGACTATGGAGAAAAGATGAGCGTGAAACG